TATCTTGAAACAAGTGTCTGAGCTTTATACTCCTACTATCTTTTAGTTATTCCAACATGAGTATGAGTTGTTTGAAGCATGTTCTGTTAAGAGCATAAATGTAAAAGCATCATTAGTTGATTGTGTTATTGCCATGGTAAAGGATTTGGGAGAATGGAAAGTGTCATTTGATTTGGATAAAAAGATAATTCATTGCTCTTGTTGTAAATTTGAGACATTTGGCATACTTTGTTGTCATTGTCTAAGAGTCTTTATTCATATGGATGTTAAATCAGTGCCTGAGCAATATATCCTGAAGAGGTGGACAAAGTTAGCAAGAAGTGTGTCTTTACCTAATGTTAGTGTTCGTCATGTAGTAGAAGATGCTCAATTGACTTCAACACAACGTCGTAGAGACATTTGTCCCCGTCTTATGAGGATAGTTGATGAAGCATGTAGGAGTCAAGAAACATACACGTTGTTGAGCAAAGTTACTGATTTATTGGACAAGGAAATGTTAGAGTTTCAAAATAAACAAGTAAGTAATACTCAAGTTAATGAGTTCCTTAGTAATGTTATAGAGATTGCAAGAAACAATGATGGTTCAACACAAGTAAAGGGGTTCAAGAAAAAAGAAGGTAGAAAAGGTTCAAAGCGTTTGAAAGGTTGGGTAGAACGCCAACTTAGTAAACGAAAGAAAAAGGGTGACTCAAGTGCTTCACAAGATCAAGATCTTACTAAGGTATTATAAAATTATGAATTTTACCATGCATTAGCTTACTCAAATACATAAATTCTCTTTTTTTGTATGCATAATAATGAGAGTAAACAAGGTTCAAAATTTGTGAAGGAGAGGATAGAGTACAATTTAGAAATGCCTAATATAAGTGCATCCACGTGGTTTAATGATGCATACAAACAACAACAATCTATGGTAAGCTAATAGAAATTTAATTGTGAGCAAACTGAAAAAATATTTAGTGATTAATTGATATTGTCTTTTGTGTAGGAAATTAATGATATTTCAAGTCAAGTTAGTGTTACTAGTTTTACTAGTTTATTGATGGTAAGTTTCAATAATTTGGATGGGATATCACAAATTTTAATAACTTGCAGATTTTACTGGTTTCATATATGTATTTAAAATATTAACTTGTGTCTTTTTAAATTGTAGGCACCACTTGATGGGGATATCACAACTTTGACCAATCCATAGAGATGTAAATTAAAAGCTACAACAACTAGCTACTTGCAATGCTTTTTGACCATTTTGTGATGATATTCAAAGCTATTCACAATTCTGTTTTGTCCTTAATTATGCAGTTCAATTTATGCATTTTTGTTATTGCACACTCTCTGTAATTTTGATATTGCACACTCTTTGCAATTTTGATGTGTCACTTATTATGCAATTCTATTTACAATTCAGATTAGACAACAACCATTAACAAGTAATTTGCAATTCTGATGTGTCACTTATTATGCAATTCTAATTACAATTCAGATTAGACAACAACCATTAACAAGTAATTTGTAATTGTACACAAAACAAATGCAATCAACAACCAATTCTGCTTAAAATTGTTACATAAAAGGAATAGAATTTCAAATAAATTGGAGCAGTACAATATCATTTTCAATTGAAACTCATTCTCCAACCAGTCCTTCTTCTCCACGGTGAACACGCGGCCACACATTGGTCTCCTCAATAGCGCCAACACCGCCAACCAGAAATCCTTCATACACTTGCTTTTTAAAACCATAAATAAAATTGATGCACTATTCGAATTTGGATCCAAATTCGCACAGTGGCATCTTTCGCCACGTGCTCTCCACTTCCGTCGAAGCGTCCAGCGACTCCAACATCATCGAGTAGTACTCCAGGCTGCTCACAGCGCCGCGCCGAAACGATGCCACCGCCGCAGTCGCCGCCTCCGCCCAACCCTCGTCGTCCACGAAAACCACCACGCCTAGCGAGATCCTCCGCACGTTCGCCAGGAACGCGGCGATGTTGCCGAGGTGGCGGAAAATCGCCGGTGACAAGAGCACAGCGGTCTTCTTGTTGTCGACGAGCTTCACCGCCTTGGACGTGGACGCAGATCCTGAGCTCAAGAGTGAACTGCGCGATGTTGTCACGGACGAGCATAAGAGAAAAAATGGAACGAGAGGATCCTGATTAATGAATTTTTATTTGCGTGAAAATATTAAAGAGAAAAAATGAAATTTTATTTATAACCGTTAGATGAATAAGAAAATGGACGGTTGTGATCCTGATGGAGAGACGCTGTACTTATATGGCAGGAGAGGATTTGATTGCATTTAATTTTAAATAAAAATAAAATATTTTCTCTCTCTTATTAACTTCATTATTTAAGTCATTTCTCTCTCCTATTAAATTCTTTCTCCAACTCATTTTTCTTTTCTATTAAATTCCTTTTCTAACTTATTTATCTCTCTCCATGAACTCATTTTTTCTTCATCTCTCATGATGTCTCCCCTCTCTCTGAACAAATAAAAAATTAATTAATAGAAAAAATGAATTGAAGAATGAAGTTAATAAGAGAGATAAAATATTTAAAAAAAAAATTAAATTAAATTACTATAATATCCTTTATACAAATTAACCAATCAAAAGAAATGAGAGGTTTTCTTATCCTAAAATTTCGGTAACTAAAATATAAGTAGAAGTATATTAGCATTTAGTATATATATAATGAGGTAAACGACGTAGTTCCATATTGGACAGCATATTTCCCGGGGTTTTGTTAGAACTTTTGGCGCTTCTCCTAATCCATTTGGTAATAGAACCAGGGTTTTAGATTCCTCATCTTCTTCTTCTTCTTCAAGACTTAAACCATAGCCATGGACTCTCTCTGTAAAACGCCTCATTCTCACCTCCCTCCCTCTCACTCTCGCTCGCCACTAGGACGTGCTTCTAAGTTCCCTCCTTCTTCATTTCCAACATCTTTCTCTTCCCTCTCTCCACCACCATTCTCTCCCATAAGAGCCTCACCGTCACCGTTACCCAAACCCCAAAACCCCTTAACCAACTTCATCCAACCCCTAACCCCTCTTCTCTCCCCTCTCCTCAAACCCACCTGCGTCGCCATAGCCGCGACCGCCTTCCTGATCATGCGCCTCCACTCTCCCCCACTCGCCTCCGCCTCAGCGCCTCCCCCTCCGCGTCGGAAACTCTCCCCGACGCCGAGGCGCTCCGGTCCCTCATGGCGGACAAGATCCGAGCGCGCGAAATCGGCGAGGCGATTGGCGTCCTCGACCGTCTGATCGACCTCGAGCCCGAGGAGCTGGAGTACCCTCTCCTGAAGGCGCACCTGCACATGCGCAACAGCGAACCCGAACTCGCACTGCGCGAGTTCGAAAACTTGCTGAAGAAGGATCCGTTCCACGTGGAGGCCTTTCGCGGCCTCCTCATGGTGACTTCGGAGACGAACAAACCAACCGGTGAACTGTTAAAGAGGATCGAAGAGGCCGTTAGGGTTTGCGAGGAGCGAGGGAGCGTTTCCGATGCAAGGGACTTTAAGCTGCAGGTTGCGCAGATTAAGGTCATCGATGGGGACTTTTCCGATGCGCTCAAGGTGTATGAGGAAATTGTGGAGGCGCAACCTGAGGATTTTAGACCTTACTTGTGTCGGGGTATTGTCTATGCCTTGCTCAGAAGGAAGGACGAGGCTGATGCACAGTTTGAGAAGTACCGTTCTCTTGTTCCGGAGGATCATCCTTATAAGCAGTATTTCGAGGACCATGCTAAGATTTTCGAGAGGGTTGGAGAGTAGGTAATTTCTTTGTTTAGTAAAAGTAAAGAATACACATCTATAACTGCTACTAGCTTTCTTAGTTTTGTTGACTGATTTGGATGGTGCATGGTACTGTTTTAGGTGATTGATTAGTTTGGTAGTATATTTTGATAGTGAGGTTTAAGAGTAGACTAAAGACTACGGAGTGTGAATAGAACTGATGATGCATTGGTCATATTATAATCATTTCAATTGTAATGGCTATCTTTTGGCTATCTTGCATCCACCATAACATTGATATAGGATACTCACAATGGTACAATATTCTATGCTGGGACACTTTTGGTGAGGGAGAATGTAGGTTTTTAAAATGGTTTTTTCATTGAAAATTCAGTTCATTCTTCAATGTAGATTGTTGATGATCTTGTTCGAGAATGATACACAAGAAAGTATGAAATTGAAACCCCATGGAAAATGACTGGGATTTACATTGAAATTTAAATTCGTTATCATGGAATAACATAATAACATGTTTGGTGGTGTTGGAGAAATTTTATTGGCACTATAATGTAGTTGCATCCAATTATGCTAATTCTTGTTTGGTATCGTAATTATGGCTTGACTGTCTCAAACTTTGAATGATGACATTAACGTACTATCTTGTGGATAGTTACATAAACCGCCAAATTGTCCGGATTGCATGCAAGGATTGTCCTGATAGATATGTTCATGTTATATAAACACACTGAGATTCCTTTTGTTGTTTCTCTGGTAGAGTGCATCTCCTATTTAGGGCTGTATATTTTCTTTATAATTAAGCATTTGATTTGTATGGTTTCTTATTCTTTTCTGTTTCTTAAATCTTAATAATAGAGATTTGAAATGCAGAGGAAGCATAATATATATCAAGAAAGTATTTAGGCAAGTCTTTAGTCCGAAAGTGACTGAACATATGCTTTTTTCGACTGATATTAGCATTAGTTTAACTGTTTAAGTACATATAGGTCCTGTTTAGATCTTTCTTCTTCTATGTATTTCATAAGGTATGAGAACATCAGTGATGATAGCATAACCTGTTCCGTGTTAGTAAATTTGACCAAGTATTGCTATGCTATGCTTGTCTCGTAAATCAGTAGGACCAGTCAAGTCTTACCCAAGTTAATGAGCAATTTTAGAGGGTCATGAGCTGCTATGTTTCTTTTTCAAACATTTACTCTTTCTTTTTGGTTTTGTTGCTTCTGTAGTATAATGTTGTATTTATGCTTCTACTTGGAGTATTGCCATTTTCAATTCTCTTCACAAACTTTTCAGATTTCAGTATGTTATTTTGTCATGGAAAAGTGGCTGGCTATATTTACAAATCAACTTTCTTACGATTTCCATATCAATATGAAAGTTTAAATATAATTTGTAGGGCATGTTCTGCGTTGTTTAGGGAGCAATGGATGTAAGCTGCTACAACATAAGGTAGCTTGCTTTCTTGGTGTCATAAATTAGTGTAACGGGTGAATTTTGCCTAGGTAGTTATCATCATGGATAGATTTGTTTTGTGCCATTTTCTTTAAGGTTATTACAAACGGTATGCTACTGGATACGCGGTACGATATGGGTGATAACTCTGAATTTAAGGACAGAGAAATCTCCAAAAACAAAAAGCAAATAGAGAAAGGAAAAAAAAAATACTTCATTCAACATAATAATATAGGAATCCAAAGTTATATAGCAATGAAGTGAGCCAAAGATTATAACAAATGACAGCATACCAAATCTAACAAAATCTTAACCAATCTAGCAACCAGCTTCTGGGATAAATGAGTCATCACTGCAATTTCTCATTTGTAAATTGTAATAAACGTACTCAGACCACCTATTAATTCTTTTGGGCCCACTCGAGTGGGCTTCTTCAACTTTGGTCATAACACGGTACTGGATAATTTGTAAATGAAACTATGAAAGTGTGACAGAAGCGCCGGAATGATGACAACTTGCATGAAATTAAGGTTAGTAGTTTCATCGTATGCTTTTTGCTTGCGCGATACTAATAATTATTATTATTAATAAATGAGTGTGTGCCACTCGTTTGTTTTGCATGCTATTGTCAGATTGCTAGTAGGTAAAGTGGTAAACTACCCGACTTCTCTCACAGTCCCACCTGACTACCTGCAACCAAATAATCACATTTATAAAATACTGGTCAAATTAATTAATAAGTCTGAATTATTTCAGAATTTTTAATTACATTTTAAAATTAATTTTAATTGGGCCTGAAAATTAATTGTTAGAAATTAAATTACAAATGTTTTATAAAATAATGACTCAATTAGATTGTTTTTAGTTTAGGAATCTAATAATTCTGAAACAATTCAGGACCTATCGATTAATTTAAACCTTTTAAAATTTAATCAATAGGTTCAGAATTATTTAAACTAAAGCATTTGGATAATCGATTTCCTCACCAACTGGCCTTTCCTTTCATTGTCTCTCCTTGAGTATACCAGAGTGATTATTCTCTTAAGTATCAAAATTTTAGTAGATACATGCTCGTCTACTGATTTTCGAATGGAATAACTTTTTCCCCTTATTTAAGTTTACAGAAGAATTTTTTTTTTTTTAGCGCATTTAGGGGTTTGGTCCCTTTATTTCTTGAGTAATTAACTTCCCATTCTCTTGATAACTGCCGGAGCTTGAGAAATTCTTTTGGAGGGCTCAAAACAATTAATTAAGATTATAATGTATAAATTAAATATAATTATTTTGATACTATTATTTTTATATATGATTTAAGTATTTAATTATACTATTTAAATATTAATTATCTTTTCCCCTAAAAACAAATATTAATTATCTTCTTAATTAATTATTGTGATATTAACTATAATTTCCTTCTGTAAAAAAACTATATTTTCCTAATTTGTTAATGAAACACTTTATAGTTTTTTTTAAATAGAGATTTATTTGCAAAATACTTTTGTGAAAAAAATATGCAAGACAAGTTAAGTTGATGGAGGAAGCCCATGGGCCAAGGGCCCAACTACTAGGGCTATGGCAAAGAAGATGCATGAAGAGTGGGCTCAAGCCCAAGGAAAGCCCATCTCTTTGTTTTGTTGGGCCTTGACTCAAGCCCAAGTAGATTAGGGTTAGTGTAGGATTAGGTCTTAGTGCCTTGTATTTCTTTTTGGGCCTTGTATTTCCGGCCATGTAGCTTAGGATTTGCATTTAGAGGCCATTTGAATTTAGGGTTATTTAGGTTACATGTAAAGTTGCATTAGCATGTAATTAGAATCACATTTGGTGTGCATTTCGGCCATGTGCAACACATGCACATGATGTGATCCGAAATGCAACTCAAATGAAATTCTAATTACATGCCAAATGAACTAGCACATGGGAGTTCCGGGTTTTAGGCACCAAAATTTGAATTTTGAATTCAAATTTTGGGCGCCTAAGGTTAAGTGAACCTTACCTTGGTTCCACTTAACCTTAGGTTAACCCAAGGTCACCTTAACCTAATTTTACCCTATAAATCACTATGGCCGAGACTTGTATGAACACTTTGGATATATTGATGAGTTTTTCTCTCTTTGAAATTCATCTCCTCCGAAGTCACCTTGCATCCGAAACTCTACCCTTCTTGAGTGCTTCTCCTTGTAGAGTTAGGACCCCTTAAAACTTCTCCGGACTTAGCTTCAAGCAAGCTTAGGTCACATTGAGCCTTGTGGAGTCTCCATCCTTGAAGTTACTCCAAGGATATCTGTGAAGGCTTGAAGAATCCTTGTGCATTCCAAGTGGAATCACATCATAAGTTTTTTTTATATATATAAAACAAAATTTAGGTAAAAACTAAAGAAATAATCATATTTTTTTTATCAACATTATAGCAAATTTTGTTAAAAAAATTACAAGAAGAATCACAAAATTCATAAAGCATTTTGCATTGAAATCGACAACATAAATCTGGTAGAAGTTATAGGATCAAATTTTCTTACAAAATAAAGAAATAAAAGTCAAAGAAAAAATGAGTTTAGAATATGTAAAATATAAATTATAAAAAAAATAATTAATAAATTAATATGCGATGGAAGTCTTGCTTTGGAACTGGATTGATATTGATTCCTCTTCAAGCTTTTTCCTAGATCTTTGGCTCCTTGATTCTTCTCAAGCTTCTCCAAGACTTCCAATGGAGGAGAAGCCTTGGATTTCACCACAATTTGGTGAAGAACACCATTCAAGAGGCGCCGCTACTTGGAAGAAAGATAAGCCCCTTTAATCCTCACCACACTCTTTCATGAAAAGGATAAGAGGATTGGATGAATATCAAAGAGGTTGAGACTTTTAGAAGAGAGGAATTGGCTAAACAATTTCAGAATTCACTCTCATATATGTCAAAAAGTGATTACAAAAGTAAGAAAAAGGTTTATATAGGGTGGGGGAAACTTATGGTGCAAGCTAGGCTAACTATGGTTCAAGAAAATCATGGTTAGCTTAGTTTGACTGTCCTAGATGGTTTAGGATGCTTGTGGAGCAAGCTTCTAACTGAGAAGCTTGGGAAGCAAGCTAAGTTAGAAGCTTGTAGCATAAGCTTCCCAAGTGTACAAGGCAACTAAGCAATTCGGCCAAGGAAGACAAGCTAGGCTGCCCACTTGCTTTTTTTCCATATTTAATCTAATCCAAAAACTTGGAGTTGGTTTAGTTAGGTTCACCATATGAAGGTGAGATCTAGCTAAATCAATTCCTTGGAAAATATGGAACAAAACAAGCCCAATATGTAAAATTTGGCCTAGGCCCAATCCAGGCCCAATTACTAGTTGCACCTACACACCTTGCTATTTGTCACCCCACTTTTACTACTGAAAAATATAAAAATGAATGAACCATAATACAAGGTCAAATGGAGTAAAAGTCTCCAAGTAACATACCCTAAATTCCTAAAGGATAACCTAAAATAAAAGAAAGAAAGTGTCTCACAAATACAAAGGCAAAATACACCTACTATGTACAAGTATCATACAATGTGTATACAATGGAGTCTAAGGGACTAA